CCCCCCCCCCCCCCCCCTCCAGAGACAAATCTAAAAATCTGTCTATGCTTTTGTCTTTAGAAAGAAAAGAGTTAGTAAGCTTGATGAAAGATCATGAATCATCAATATGTTCTATATCAATCCATGCATCTGGACGACATGCTTTGACCACAGCCAATGAAATTGCTCAAATCTGGGATCTTGATACTTTCACAAAGAAAAAGACCTTGAATGGTGCACAGACTGTTGGTATTCAGCAGGTGGGGTGAGGTTCAAGAATTCTACATTTTGAAGTCTTAAAGTTTGTAGTGAATCACCATTTTGATGAATTGCCATGGATCACGTCTTTCAGGCATTTATTTTTTACGTTATAGGAACCAATAAACGTTGGTATTTCCCCACCAAGCAACTATTTTCCACCATGCAAATTTAAGCCCTGGTCAAATAAGGATGAGTCGTCTCATTGAGAGTTGGCAAGCGAGAGTTTGCATGAGGGTGTTCTCAACTTTCATGCCCCAGTCAAACGAGAACAACAGTTGCATGAGAGTTGACCGAATATTACCGCGTGCGTAAAATTGAAGATAAGTTGCAACTCTTATCAAACCTTATCTATTTTTCGGTTGGACTGGAACACAACTTGAATGTGAATTAGAAAGCGCGTTCGGAACGCGGGGGGGGACAGATGGAATGCGAGTGAAACGCATCGGGAAACGCATTCCGGTCCTGTTCTTAAGGTCGTGGTACAATTTTTTCTACAACTTACAACGCAATGCCTCGTGTAACATCATGGCCTTTACTGCGTCTTTTGATCTATTCGGCCAACAGTTGTTTTCGTTACTTTCTGTTCAAGTAAACACGTTTCACCTCGCAAGAATCTTTCATTACTTTACATCAGACTGTGACATGATTTTTTAGGTGTTCTTTCTGCCCTTGAGTAACACGATAATCTCGAGTTTCAAAGACGACAGTATATTTGCTTGGGATTTTGAAAGCCTTGTGTGCAAATATCAGTTGCCCGTACCTGAAGGACCTGCGCCACATTATCGAGCCTTTGCCACACCCAGAGATGGAAGATTGCTTGCTGCCGGAGGAAGGTAATGAAAGGGGGAGGGGGTTAGTTTAAACATTTCACTACAAGGTTTGAGACTTTGAGTACAGTGGTAGGGTCTCAGTTATACCTGACAGTGTTTTCGTCATACTTTATATCCACGGTTTGTGCATAAAGTACGCTGGATTTCGGCGGTATTTCGGATTTTGTAGTTTCATGGGCGCTACCTCAAGTCAGATTTGTCAGATTAACTATTGCCTAAAAACCTATTGCCTAAAGACTAGCTATGAAGGAGAAATGTTTACTGGACATTTTTTTTGCTCATTTTAATCAGCGTTCATCCCACTGATACACACCTTCAAAGTAACAAATATTTCTTTGATAAGAACTTAAAGTATACTGCAACTGAGCTTACCTTCTTCAGCTAATTCACCAAGAAAAGCTGTCAATAATTCTAAATGCTGTCAAAGTACGCTGGATTTCGGCGGTATTTCGGATTTTGTAGTTTCATGGGCGCTACTTCAAGTCAGATTTGTCAGATTAACTATTGCCTAAAAACCTATTGCCTGTAGACATGAAGGAGAAATGAATTTTTTTTGCTCATTTTAATCAGCGTTTATCCTATTGATACACACCTTCAAAGTAAGAAATATTCCTTTAATAAGAACTTAAAGTATACTGCAACTGAGCTTACCTTCTTCAGCTAATTCACCAAGAAAAGCTGTCAATAATTCTAAATGCTGTCATAAATTATTTCCTTAGACTTAGTAACAATATCCCTGCATTGTAAGTACCATTGAGACTCGCCCATCTACCAAAAATATTTCAGTGTATGCGTCCACTTACAGATCACATTTTCTTCATATCTGGACCTTGGAGTCCAAGACATTGTTACGAATCATTGATTTACCAACTAAAGTAAGGATGGTGAAACAACTAGAGTTCCTCGCTGACAGTTTTGATGGCGGATCCAGTCAGACTGTTGGCATTCTCTCTCAGGATGGCATCATTCGCTTTGTTAATATTCATACTTGCAAGTTGGTGTTTGAAGTTGGATCACACGAGAAGGTATTGTACTCGGTTGAAAGTTGTCACTGTGAGTGACTTAAGTCTGGTCCCCACTTTCTGTACATAACATACGCTTCAGCCTATGGTGCTTAATATTTCAGCGAATTAACTCGTTCAGTCTCAGTCCAAATGGTTCTGACATGGCATGTATTATGGACAGTGGTTGTATCAACATTTACAGTGTACCAGCTCTGACCAGCCACTTGAAACAGGTAGGGTACATAATTCCTTGTTTTTAATATACAGCTACTAATACGGCTACCCCGTTAAGGCCCATTTCCACTCAAGAAAATTTACCACGGACAGAAAATTTTCCGAAAATATCATTGTTAAAAGTTGAAAATTTTCAACTTCAAAATTTTTTTCACTGAAGGAAAATTTGTGCCGGCCAATCACATTTTACAAAATTTTCTTTCAGTGGAAAATGTTCCTGAGTGGAAATAGGCCTTTATTACGGTAACATTTTTTGTTCCGGAAAAATACCAATCTAAAGCATTCTTTCTGTAATTCGGTCACCTTAAAATACAATCATCATGCACTTTTGTCTAAACTGTTCTTTCAAGAGATCAAGTATAAGAGCTGTCGTATTGGTTAGAGCACTGTACAGGAATCGTAGGTTCGATTCCTGTCAGAGAACCTGAAGTTTCATTTTTCGCAACTGTTCCTGATTAGGTTTAAAAGTGAGAAGTGTATAGAAATTTAGTAATTTACGTTGGAGAATGGACCATTTGCATTATAGACTAAATTTCGGTCTAGACAAAAATTTCATCACAGCTTGAAAGAGCATCACAAAATTAGTAATATTCCAAAGTTTCGTTGCGAAATGTTGTAAAATGCGGATAATATAGCCTTGCGAAATTTGCAATTTTCAGTCATTTTATATTACAAATGGGAAATTGATGCCCAAACACCCGATTGGGCTGTCAATTTCCCGTGCGTAATACAAAATGACTGAAAAACGGCAAACTTCGCAAGGCTATATTATCCGCATTTTACAACATTTCGCAACGAAACTTTGGAATATTACTAATTTTGTGATGCTCTTTCAAGCTGTGATGAAATTTTTGTCCAGATTTGTCTAGATCAAAATTTAGTCTATAATGCAAATGGTCCAGTCCATCTGCAAAAACACATTCACTATTATTATAGTTTTATCGCACGAGATGCTCAGAATCTCGATATTTCAAACTCATTAATTTATTGAATTCCAGGCGCCAGCCCCAGTGTTTAAAACTTTAGTGGACGATCGACTACGCAAGAAAGGTGGCAATTCAACGATACAGTCGACGTCCATGGAGGACTCCAAACAAAACAAAGGGAGAACGTCGTTCTCGAAACAAAAGAAAACTGTTAAACCAACCTGGTTGAAACCATCGGAGTCGACGACGGAAGACGAGCAGGTTTGTGGTTGAGAAATATTTAGTAGTTGGTAAATTGTATTAAACACATTGATAGTTCATGAAGGCAATTCAAAAGAAATCAGTATTTAATGATGTGTTGTATCCACATACAATATACAAAATTCGCCTGATTCCAAAAACTTTTTTCTCGATTTTCTTGGTTCAAATAATTTCTTTTTTGAACAATTTCTTAAAACACACTACTGTTTCACGATTTACAGGTACATTCACGTCCCTATCAGGCATACTGTACAACCTCTCGAGTTCGTATATCTGCTACAACACGACCGTTCATAATTAAAAACATAAACGTTCTCTGACTAAAATTTTTTATTTAAAACGAGCTTTCGACTACCTAACTGTAGTAAATAAAAAATTCGACTACCTAACTGTAGTAAATAAAACGAGCTTTCGAATTTTAGTCAGAGAACGTTTATGTTTTTAATTATGTCTAAACCTGGCTACGCTATCTCCATATTTTCACGACCGTTCATGCTGTACATATACAATAGTACTTACTAGTGCAGGTACGATTAGAATTTGTATTTGTTTAGAGTACTGCAACTGATGGTCTTAGTCACAGCCGACTTAGAGCAATCCTTAGGGGATATGGAGAATACCCCGCAAAATATAGGTAGGTTTACAGAGCATTTATGTAACATATTGTAACTATAGTTACTTTACCTATACTGGATAGCTCTTTCAGTTCTAAACTATTCCTTTTTGAAATCCAGTAACAGTATAAACGTCATTCTTCATCACTTCACCAATACTTCTTAGCAAAACAATAAAAAGTGAGGTAAAAATTTCGTCAGTTCATAAACACTCTAATCAGACAATTGCATATTGCAGCTAGGAATCGAACCTGGGTCGACTCAGGAATGAAAAGCATTGTGGCACCAACCAGGGTCTTAGCTAGGATTTTAGATCTTGGGCGTGTTTCTAATGACCAGGGCGTGCACATGTCAATTACCTTGAATAGCAAAATCACGGTTCTAGTTATGCTCGCCAACAATAATGCTTGTGGTTGTTCTTTGCTAATTTGCAACCAACCACAAGGCGAGCATACACTCATATTTCGCACTGACATTAAAATATTTAAGTTATTTCAGCAACTGTTTGGGGTATTTAAAACCATTTTAACACCATACAGTTCCCATTATCCATCAAAATAATAAAACATTACGAATCACTTTTGCCAATTGAACAACAACAGTATAGATTTTACAAACTTTCTTACGACGTAAATAGGAAGAAGTTGAGTCTGAAATTCTGTCTGTTGTAAGTGGCACCACCTTAGTTTATGAACCTATACACGGCCTTATATCAATAATGAAGCCGCGTTCATTTTATCTAGCCGTGTTTTTCCGCTTTCGGCCGCGATAACACGGCCAACACGGCCCTCTAGCTAAGACCCTGGCACCAACATCCATATTCCTATATATACCGCATGAGCTCGAGCGTTTGTTTCTTCCTAGAATGTTCATATGGCGAAGTCTTCTACAGCTTCCAGAGAACCATGCTGCATTCTGTAGTTTAGTTGACAAGGGAACTCATTCAACGTTTGTCACACTTCATGAAAACTACCCAATCAAGAGTAGAAAGCTTTTGCGTGTTCTGCAAAGGTTAGTAACATTCAAGCCCCGCTTGTTTGAAATGTATGCTAGTTTTAAAAACACTGCGTTGCTGGCCTTGGATTGCATGCTTTATTATACTGTACATTTGAAAAATACAAGAACCATCCATCCCTCTCTATTTCCCACTACAGCCTTATACTCCTTTTTTAAACCTAGAATTCTCTCTGCCTTGGCTCATTGGTCAGCTGTTTTTGGTGAGACCGAGTTTCTTCCTCTTCTTGTGTTTCCGTTTGTTAAATTATTTCAGAACAACCAGTTGATATGCTTTGAAGTTGTGGCAACTGTCCTAGGTAAGAATCTAATATAATTAATCTAATGTAGTTGTGTGTGATATTATAATCGATAAGCTCATAACAAACTTCGAAGTTACAGGCTGTTCCGTACATTTAAGTTGTCCCACTCTGATAATTAGAGGCAGGGGGCTATCCCCCTCGAACCCCCCCCCCCCACCCATTTTCACCGCTAGGTGGAGCATTCCTCCTTTGTAGGCATCTCAATAGAGATTACTCTATCCAATTTTCTATTTCATATTCAGTAAAATATTTACCTCACTAATTTGCAAACCTTTTGTTTATCTTGCAGTAAACTGGTGTCAGAATTGGTTTGAATTTTTTCCCAATCCTCCAATCAACTTATTGAGCATGGTAGAAAATCTTCTCGTTCATCATGACAAGAATCTCTTACAGCATCTTGTTCAAGCTGACGTCAAATCCCAGGTATTTTTTAGGTATATGTTTATCTCTCTCACGCAACCTAACTACAAACTAATTCTGTTCTGACTAATTTCTAGATATATTGTTGGCCAATAATCGAAACACTATTTTCTGAAGTTCTTACAAAGGAGGAATGGCTACGTATATGGGATCATATCTTCAGTAATCATCCGTCATTTCTGTTATTTCTTGTCGCTGCTTATCTTATATGTTCAAGAAAAGTTCTCATGCAATGTACAGCTAAAGAAGACTTTGAGGTATCCTGTTTGATATCAGAGTACCCAGCCTGCAGTTTATGCACGATGACCCATATATGTGTTACCATAGCTGTAATTGTTCAGTATATGGCCAGTGCTTTACCTTCAAGTGTGTGCGTTGTGTTTGTCTAATGACTAATTGTCTCCTTGTAGTATTTCGTTCACCATCGCAATGCCTGCGATATTTCTGCTGTCATTCAAGAGGCTTATCACCTTCAGAATACCACGCCATCTGATATTGATCCAGGGAAAATGTTGGAAGAATTTAAACCTCTCACCAAAGGACAGTATCCGGTGTTTAATAAATATCCTAAGTTTATTGTTGATTATCAGGTACGTTGCTGACGCTCGTGTATGTTAGCTTTAACCCATTAAGTGGCAGCACTTCCCTTGTGGTGCATCAGGGCGAACTGCCACTTAAAGGATTAATACATAATCTTGAAGAAGTCTGGATTGGCTTTACTATAGGCGGTGTCTTACCCTCAGCGTATCTGTACTCAAATGTTGACACTGTTTCCAACAGGTTCAAGAACGAGAACGAATACGGCAAGAAGAGTTAGAATATCTTCAACAAAGGTAAATCACTATATCTCATCAAAACAATGTTGTTTTATGGTCCTTAATGGACTTCTACTCTAGAGAGAACGTTTAGAACTAATAAAGCTATCCAGTATACAAATAGAGAATAATACATGGGTGCGCGGAAATACCAGATTTATTTCGAGTGTTGAACTAGTCCAGTCCCAGACCCTATTCTCGCCACACGGCGCGGCGGAGAAGGAGGGTCCAGAAGAATTTGCATGCGCATGCGTCAACTTGTCCAATCAAAACGGTTGCGATTGACTTCCGGGAGAAGGGAAAACCCTTACACCTGTTAAACGCGCGCGCAAAACGTAAACAACTCAGAGAAATAAAAAATGTCAGGTGAAGTTCGATGTCGAATATGCAATGGAGTCTGTCCGCCCGCTAGGAGATATGTACTTTACAATGCAGAAAATGATTATACATCAACAGCGATGCTGTTTTTCAAGGCATATGGTCTGTCTATTAGACGAGACAAGCCTGGATTGTCTCGCCATTGTTGTCGAAATTGCCGAAATAATGCGAATAGGGCCGTCGAGAAAATTAAAAGTTATAAGGAAAATATTAGTCCTCGAGGGAAAAGAAAAACAATACCATCCTCGCCAAATTCGATTAGATCTCCACCATCGAAAACATCGAGACCTAACGAAAGAAATTGTAGTTTCAGCCAGATCATTGCAGTTTTCCAACGACAAAGCACAGGTACGACGACATTATTTAAATTTTATTATAAAAAGACCAGTCTTTTGCCGAAGAAATATGCAACTATGTATATACTAACTGAAATCGGTGTTTACTAAATATTGCTGGTATGATATCCCAATATTGTCCGAGTGAGACTGTTTAAAAATACTTTATTTGTTATAGCTAGAAAGTTAAACTTGTCAAATTACACGTACGATAATTGCAATTTTGCATCGCTGTAACAAATAAGAGTTATTGTGACAAATATTGTATTGTGACAAAAGATAGGGTAATTAAATAAATTTCTATTTGATACGCAAAAATAGACAAGCTTTCTTTTACTGCAAACACTTTAATTTTATATAAATATAATGTGGTCGTCATAAAGTGCTTTACTCCTGGTCTTGCAGCCTTGGATGTGTTAATTATTGTAATTTTTGCACTAATATTTTAACACAAAATTAGGACGAATAATCCATAAACTTATTACAGACAATTCACGCCATTAAACCAAAAATATGAAGAAGTAGTATACATTGTAGAGGAGATAACCGAACGTATTTACTGTGTAGTTTCATCATCTTGTGTTTCTTTATATGACTTCGAGGGTGTAATTATCTAAATGTTTGTTATCATGTTCATTTAGCCATCCCATTCTAATGCAGCAAACACGACATCAAGTGTGAGCACGACGACATATCTTTCCTCACCCTGTCAAACATTTACTACAGTTTAAAATAAATCAAGTGAGTTCAGAGTAGGTTACTGTATAAAGTTACTTATTTGCAAGGCTAATTATATAACGTGATGAACCAAAGTGTAAAAAAAATTTGCCCTATCCAATCGTTGGTTATCTCGCCACATTTTCAATAATTTCAATAATCCTTTAAAACTTAGTATAAACATATGACAATTAGCCAAATTCTCTTGCAATAGAATGAGGCTCTGTAGTCAAGGGAAAGCACTTTGGCTAATTTATTTATTAAATTATTAAAATATCTAGCATAGACCTACCATTGTAGTACACAATGTGCCTCATCAATTGCCACACAAACAATATGCTCTTTCAGTTCCCTCAGAGTCTCCCTTACAGTCAAACTGGTAAATGCCTCAGGGGATAACAAAGCGATTTTGATGTTCGATTTTCCACGTCGAAGGTCCTCAACTTGTCGGTCTTTAAGATCGGTGAGCTTGACGCTATGTATTCCTCGTTCGGCCATTTTAGCCATCTGATCATCCATGAGGGAAATTAGGGGTGAAATCAAAACGACGATAGATGAACGGCAATCGTTGTTTGGTGACGATCGCAGAGCATCGCAAACATATGGAAAGAGCGTGTAAATCAGCGACTTTTCGAAACCAGTTCTCAGATGAACGAATACATCTTTACCGCGAGACAGGTAATAGATCGCTTGCAATTGCTCAAACTTCGGCAAAAAATTATATTTACACATTTCCATGGCAAACTTAACGGCTTCAACAAATTCTCTGCCAAAAATATGAAGAAACTTGTTCTCAATCAGCGCTGCAAGAGTATCAGAACTTTCCTTTGACATTGCGGATTTTCCCCACAGTAAACAGAGCTTAGCGACCTGGCGACCTCCACATATGTGTGGTGGTAGTTGACGCATGCGCATGCAAATTCTTCTGGACCCTCCTTCTCCGCCGCGCCGTGTGGCGAGAATAGGGTCTGGGACTGGACTAGTGTTGAACATGATATCTCACGAGTGAGCGCAGCGAACGAGTGAGATATCAAGTTCAACACGAGAAATAAATCTGGTATTTCCAAGCACCTATATATGTATTTTTCTGTTTATTATATAAACAAAATTCAGTGAAAAGCATAAAACGTCCGTAGCAATGCGTTTTACAACAAATGATATTTTCACATGTAAAAGTATCGTATTTTTTACGTGTGTTTAAATACGATTTTTCTCAGTGGCCAAAAACTCTATATAATTAATAACACTTATGTTTATATAATAAATAATGTTATTGTAGTCTAGTTTAGATTTCCTCCATGTATAGTAACACTGGATAAAAACTGCATGGACTTCTAGGGTTAACAGTTTAAAACTGTCGAGATATTATTAGATTATTGCTGCCTAATGAAGATACATGCATTTCATCCTAGGCAACTGGCTGTAGAATTAAAGAAGCAAGCTGAAGAAAGAAAAGAGGCAGAAGAAGCCTTTTATCGTAATCAGGAGTTGATGATGGAGGCTGAAAAGCAAAGACGAGATCTCATCTTACTGGAAGAGCAAAAACTAGCTGATCAGAGAGTCAGGTTGGTAGTCTGTTGAAATTTTTCAGCGAGTAAGGACTATATAAGAGTATTGGAAAGCTGTGATGTGAAGAATATACAGTACAACTACCTGAACGATGTTTTTCGGGTAGGTGAATTATCCTAATTCAGTGTATCAAAAAAGTAGACAATTTTGAAACGGCTTTCAATTTCACAAATCCTTTCATTTCATGAAATTTTTGATAAATCTAGATTGTTTGGGTACTTATATACTATAATGTAGAATAAAAAAAATTGTCGTAAAAATCAATTTTACAGAGCAGGAGGGTGTATTTTTTAGCAGCATTAAAAATTGCTTGCGTGCGAAATTTAAAAGTTTAAAACGCATTGTCTATACTTTTTTTATACACCCGGCTGTAGATTTTATGTAGTACGAAATCTATAAAGTGCACAAACAATGCATGAAGCACACATACAGTATGTCATCTGCCTCGTACCCAGGCGCTTTGGCGATCAAATTAATCCACGCGGCCCACGCAAAGGCCGCGCAAACCATAGAACAACACATAGCGCCTGGGTACGAGGCTTGTATGTCATTCACTCTTGTTTTAGTAGTTTAAAATTAAAAACAAAACAAAAAAAACGCCTTGAATCACCGAGTGTTATTTGTCTATGTAAAAGGCTTGCAATCGATTACATTTTGTATGCTTTAATCTCATGCAGGTTACAAGCAATGAGACGTGAAGTTCATACGCGAGAGCTACAGTTGATGGATGCTGTGAGAAGAAAATACATGGAGAATCAGAGCAAGTTCAAGGAAGTTGAACTGAAGAGAATGGATGATGAAATACAGCGCAAGGTTAGAGCTTTACAAATATTTCGGCATATCATGTATTTGTATCCTTTCTGCGGGAATAACACGCCTATATCACCTACAGACCTAGCCAGGAGGGGGGTTTATACCAGAATACCAATATACTCTCGATATTACTCGCTCAATATGCCAGTTCACCTATACAATTCTAGGCTACATCCGTCCGCTTGAGTACTTGATCTTCGGTCAAAGCCTATTTTAACAATAAAATTGTATACCATTAACCTATTTTAACAATAATATTGTATACCAATTAAACCACATAAAGATAAGTCTGTTTTTAAAATTTTTTAAAACTTTTTGTAAATATAATGATATTATATTATAAATTGGATAGATTTTAGATTAGATAAATTCTTAAATAGTGTGTAGAAATTTTCTTACATTTATACATGTAAATTGTCATTGAAAAACCCATTTGGGAATATACAATTACTTTATGGTTTCCGTGTTTGGATGGCCTGATCCAAACACGCGGGAATGTTGCGAGAGTTAAGAAAAGCGAGCGAAATCACGAGCCGAAGGCGAGTGATTTT